CAATACAATGGTCTCTTGGAGATCCATATGACGTAACTCTTTTTGTGGGGTGTTTATTGGGATCCGACGAACTTTGAGTTTACGATCAAATCTATCTTTTTATCCATGAAAGTTATTTGAGTCTTCTTTGATCTCTTATATGCATGATTGCTTATAGCCTCGTATTTCTTCTCCAATATTTAGGTTTTGTTTGGCCAACTTGATCTATTTATCTTGTAATAGGAAGAGGTGCTTTGTGATGGGTTCAATCTTACGGTGCTTGATCCCAGTGACAGAAGTGGAACCGACACGTATGTATCGTTGCCATTAAGGATAACAAGATGGGGTCTATTTCTACATAAATAGATCTTTTCTACATCATGTCATCATTCTTATTGCATTACTCCGTTTCTCCATGAACTTAATACACTAGATGCATGCTGGATAGCGGTCGATGTGTGGAGTAATAGTAGTAGATGCAGGCAGGAGTTGGTCTACTAATCTTGGACGTGATGCCTATATAATGATCATTGCCTGGATATCGTCATGATTATTTGAAGTTCTATCAATTGCCCAACAGTAATTCGTTTACCCACCATTTGCTATTTTTCTCGAGAGAAGCCACTAGTGAAATCTACTGCCCCCGGGTCTCTTCTTTATTATATTTGCCTTCGCGATCTATTTTTATTTGCTTTTATTTTTAGATCTATTAAACCAAAAATACAAAATTACCTTGCTGCACTTTATTTTATTTGGCGATATATCTATCAATTTATTACAACTTTCTCACACCCACTTGCCAATTTCTGGCGCCGTTGCCCGAAGGGGATTGACAACCCCTTTAATATGTCAGGTTGCGAGTATTTATTATTTATGTGCAGGTGCCGTTCATGTAGTGTTGCGTGGTTCTCCTACTGGTTCGATAACCTTGCTCTCATCACTGAGGGAAATACCCACCGTTGTTGTGCTGTATCATCCCTTCCTCTTTGGGGAAATACTAACATAGTTCAAGCAAGCATCAGTCCCCGTCACCGACCCCCTTCGACCTCGAGGTGAGACTAGCCAAATCCCCATGTTGATTATGATGTAGATGCTTTCATAGATGTAGTAGAGTAGTAGATGAGTAGTTGTGACAATTTCCATGGAATAGAAAATTTTCAATGTAGGTCTTTCAAATATGATGGAGAGTTAGACATGTGATATGTAGTGTTGTGTAGTACTAGTGCTTGCCCAAGTGGCCTATGTTTGCAGTGAACACCTCACAGTGGCCTATGTTTTGCCATAGTGTTGATTAATTTCCATTCCGGCAAATTCAGGCGTTCGATATATGTCCTTTTTAGCAATGGTCATACCGGATTTTTCTGTGAATTTTGGCATGACTTGTGCTAGAATATGTAGGAAATATTGAGTGGCCCGGATCTTGTAGAAAGATAATTAAATGACATTTCGGGTTGACTTTAAGTCTGTTGGGACTCCACCATATATATGAGAGAAGAAGAATGCCGACTATTGTCGTGGGTGTCATTCTTCCTCTTCTTTCTTGTGATAGACCTTTTAGTAATGCACGAGAAGGAAGATAAGATCGACCATCACCGACGGTCACAAATGTCAGAGAGGAATCAGTGAGGGAGAGTCTCCACCATATATGAGAGGACAAAGAATCCCGACTGTTATCGTGCGGGTAGCTTCTTCTTCATTCCAAGGTGCTAGACATTTTGGTCTAATGCACTTTGGAATGACAGGAGTAGCTACCATCACCAACGGTCGAATATATACACCACGTGAGCTGAGAGTTTTCAAGAAAAGACTCGACGGACCGATACTCAACCCATGATGAATAATAATGATATAATTTAGTTTTTATAGTACATATATTGAATTGTACAAGTTTAATCTTTGAATTATGAACATAGGAAATGTCTGACGACGACGATAGGCTCCCAGAGTGCGACTGGTGCGGCGACGACCAGGGTCTGTGCGACAGGCCTCACCTGGTAGACGGTCGGCGCTTCAGTATTAAGCTCCACAAGACCTTCGATGTTGAAACGGTACGCAACAACTACAAGTGTCCTTTTGTATTTAAGCATGACTTCTGCTTCTTCAACGTGTAATTTCCGTCTTTTACAATTCGACTAGCTTATCCCATGCCATGCAAGATGCTATGTCTTGGAGAAGCTGGATTTTGAAGATCATAAAAATATGGAGACAAAGATAGTTCACCTAAGGACCCATCATGGTTATGATTTTGCTGTAAATCTATACAATTCTGAGAGCGTATCCCATTTGGGTTGCCTAAATTGGGAAGCACTTTGCAAGCCATATGATTTTCATGAGGGTATGCTTGTCACCTTCGATCTTGGTGATCCTGACATCGACGAAGAGAATATGGACATTTGGGTCCTTGTTGATACGCTTCCACTTCTACCGCTATGTGAGTTTCTCAAACATATTTATTAAGTAATTTATATTGTTTATTTCAAAATAGTTGACAGCTTATTTTCATTCTTCAAAAATTGTACGGAAGATGGTGGACACAACCTACTACGCCGATAGCGCAGAATTAACTTATCAGGAGAAAGATCATCTTATCTTATTTATTATTGATGTTGAGAATTACAATATCAATCATGAAACTCCTGCACATTATGGTCAGTACGTGCCATTAGTGCACGTGTTGAACTACGATAACATTCATGGAGATGGCATTGTAAGATTTTTTTTTACTATTATGACATCTGTGCATATTTTGCATAAATTCTTCTAAAGCTAAACTACATTGCTAACTACGATGTTATTATTATGTTTTTCAACAAAAAATCCCGAAGGATTGTGTGCCTGATCTTATGTTTCCGAAAGGTCACCTTGATGTTACTAGCTTATGGCCAAGTCATCCTAGGCTTCACCGCTGTTCATACTGAATTTCTAAAACCGATGAAGACATGACAATCAAAGAATGGAAAAAAATGTATGGACAATCATAGAGAGCTACTTAGAAGCAACATTGTGTGAAGCGCAAGAATTGGAGACATGGTAGTCTCCATTCTCCATAACGGAGCGTCAGGGCCTATCTTGTTTTATGCTATTTTACCTTAGAGAGGGTAGTAGGTCATATATGAGAGGAGTAGGTCCTAAGTATTAAGAATAATTAGTTAGTGTTGATTATGACTATGATGATGATTAGAAGTTGTTACTATGTGCTATAATGTGTTAGAGTTGATGATGATGAGGAGGAGGAGTTGTGATTATGACTAGTGACCAAGTTGTTATATGATGTATCATGGACGAAAATGATGGTCGTGATGAGTTGTTATATGACAATGATGTACTATGATGATAAGTTGTTATATGACAATGATGTATTATGATGATAAGTTGTTAATGATGATGATGATGATGATGAGTTATTATAATGGTGTATGAATACGACATAAAATAAAATAAAAATAGAATACATAGTAATAGTAGTAGTGCGGGCAGAGAGGCGCGCTGCCAGTAACTACCAGTAGCGCTTTCTGAAGTAAGCGCTACTACTAAGTAGGTATAGCAGTAGCGCGGGTGAACCAACGCTACTGCTACACTTTAACTGTACTGTCGTAGCAGTAGCGCGGCCCAAAAACCAGCGCTACCGCTAGGCTTTTCCCTAATAGTGTTCCATAATCTTGACATGGTAATCAAAGCCTTCCTCTTTCATTGCATCTAGCAACCACCTTCTCCATCGCATCATCCAGCCTTTATCTTCATATCATCCAGCCTCCCATCTTCCCATCACACCCACCATGTCTTCCTTCAGGCAAACTATCTCCACCGGCTTGAACAATACCATCTCTGAGCTTCTCACCAGACCCTACTATATTCTATGGCAAGTCCAAGCTCGCTCCCAGATCATGGGGATAGGACAATATGGGTATTTTGATCAAACCATTGCCGACCCACCAAAAACCATTGTTACTAAAACCTCCGAAGGGAAGGATCAAACCATTCCCAATCTGGCCCATAGCCTTTGGCTTACTCAAGATGCAACGGACATTCGGACGAGGAGGACGCAAAAACATCCGGTTTGTGTCTGTTTTAGATCCAAATTTTCGACATAATGGATCCGAACGCACACAAAACGAACAGAAAATGGGAATGGGTGCCTTGCTTGGGCATCGTTTTTTGTCCGCGCGGGCACAAACGGATGCGGCTGGACCAAATGGGTCGCCGCGTTGGGTTGCTCTAAGAGATTGGAAATTTTCCACCGACCTACCACAATCATGCTAGGCAGTAATGTGATGGATTGTTTCCAGTATGTCTGTTATCTGATCATTGATGTATGGTTGAGAGGCATTTCGATCTCTTTGGTAAATTACACCAAAATTTATTTTCCTGGACTTTCGACTGCTACAAAATTTAAGTCCCGCGACTTGTTTTCCACTCTGCATTGAGAGGTTTGGGGGCTTGCCAAAAGTTGGAGGTGTTGGTGCTATTTTTATTTTATCTTTTGAGGTGGCTGACCAAATAACCTCGATTGAGAAGTCTTTCAAGAAAACATTTTTTTTCTAGATTGAGGCTAATTTGACTGTTTTTGCATGCCTCTTTTGAAACATCTTACGAACTACAACAGCATGAATGCATGATTGATCAACAAACGGTCGCACAAATATATCTGCATTTCCAAAGCAAAGGTGCCAAGAAATATTGACTATTTTTCCTTTACTTGGTCTAGCTCAAATATCACTACAATGAATGAATATATATAAATTCAGACCAAAATTACCATAAATTTCAATTTGTAAGCATTTTGCTGGCAGTTTAAAAAAACTGTTGAACACACTCTTGAAACAGAAAGAGAACCTCAACTAATACATGCACGCATTATAAATTTTGGGAACTCCACACAAAAGTAAAATATTAAAAACTCAAGGACATAATCAATACTGAATAAATGGACAACATGAGTTACTGGTACACTACTACATCAAGCAACCGAACAAACAACATTTAAAAATAACAAATTTTAATTATTTTGGATGTGTGCTCGCTCAGTTAGACGCTGCAGCGGCAACCTCTCGTGCCTTGGCGAACTCAAGCAGCCTGCCCACGTCCGGCAGGGCTGCCTTGGCCGCGTCGAGCCCGCTGAAGTGCTCCACCCACGCGGCCAGGAGCGGGGTCTTGGCAGCGTCGAAGATCTTGTCACCGGACAGCACCTCGGTTACCTTCATCCACGACAGCACGCCTCCCAGCGCAACGTCGACGAGCCCGACGCCGTCCCCGCCGAAGAAACCCCCTCCCTTGGAGCACTCCCTCAGGGCCCCTTCCAGGACCTCCACCGCCGCGAACGCCTGCTTCTTTCCCTCGGATTTCTCCTTCTCTGTCTTGCCCTTCAACCACTGCCTCCATGGGGCTACCAGCTGAAACACAGAGAAAGATAACGGTCAAAGATGCTCGTTGGATGCCTTAATAATAATATATCTACTGTAAATGGAAGGAACGGATGCCACTAGTTCAACCAATTGAGGATAATTTAAACCTTGTCGTCAACGTAGGCCACCCAGAAGCGAGCAACGGCGCGTTCGTAGGGGTCCACGGGCAGAAGCGACGGGCCGGTGCCGGTGAACACGTCGTCGATGTACTGCACAATGATCATGGACTCGCAGACCGGGGCGCCGTTGTGGATGAGCACGGGTATCTTCTTGTGCACCGGGTTGGACTTGAGGAGAAGCTCGCTCTTGTTGTACAGGTTCTCCTCCACGTCCTCGTAGCTCACGCCCTTGAAGGCGAGCGCCAGCTTCACCCTGGTAACAAACGGGCTTGGCCATGCGCCGAGCAGCTTGAGGTCATCTCCTCCGGCCATCTCCAACTAGCTAGCCTAGAACGATGGATGTGTGTGTGTGCGTGAAGGCTGAGATCGTTTTAGCTGTTTGTGATTTGCTGGGTACTGGCTTGATGAATGTATCGGAGGCATATCAACTGTTTATATAGTGACCATGTAATACAAACTGGAGTATACGTCATGGGTGATGCTGCTTCGAGGAGAGTGTCATCCGTGATGCCTGGGCGATCAGCAGATGCCGTCCTTGTAGTGCGTCGATGGATTTTTAAAGGCCTTTTGTTGGTTTCCTTCAATCATGCTTGACTGTGGAGATGCGTCTGTCTTAACTTATACACTTGAAATGTAGTTGAATTATTTCTGAGGCGCCACGTGCTGCTGCCTCCCCTCGCGCAAGCCCTTCCGTCAGCAGACCATCCATACAGGCGTCAATTTTTCTGACTTGGTTGCGAGCAGATGATTAAAATACCGTAGCTACAAGTTACAACAACATCCGCCTCTTTTGTCACTGAATGTGGAGATTGTATCTGGATTAAAATTTCAATGGCATAATTTTAAAAGGACCACCTACTCAACAGTTGCTCTTTTTTTGTGTGTGCTTTCCATCGATTTCGTTCAATCCAACTCCTGCTGGCCATCATCCTCCCCACCCTTTTTATGGAAAAGGGTTTCTCCCCGCTTTAGATTATAAAGCAACCGCCACAACAACATCCCTACTAGATACATTGTTCATCTTCTTCCTAGAACCGTCCCTGACACCCGCCCAACCGCCCGCTCCTTCCCCCTTGGCAGGCGAGCACTGCCTTGTAACCCCAACATGGCAGAGCATTTGCCTCCGCCGCCCTACAGCCGTCCCCGCCTCCCCGGCTTCCCTCTAGACCACACCAGATTC